AATAATCATATAAAGTTTGTAAATGTTTGTGTAGACCAGAAATACAAGTTTCAACATCAGGGGTTTCAGTCGGTCCAATATCCGTATAAATATATAAAGCAGTAATTAATTGGCGACAAGTGGCCATTTTGATAGAAGGGTTTAAAATATCACCAATTAGGCAAATAGGCGAATTGGGTAGAAATATTTCTTAAATTTGCCTAGCATAGATTCAACAACAGAAGTATATCCTTCTTTCTTCTTCAAATTATGGAGTTAAAAGAGAAATTTTAGCAATATGAACTAAACCATTTGCAATAGTAGGATAATAAGCTCCAGAAGCTCAAGGTAGCCAACAAATTTTTTGTAAATATTTTACAACATCTTCAATGACATCCCAAGTTCTAGATGTTAAAAAACGGCTAGGATCGGCACAATGAGAATTAGAAACTTCATTTATAGGCATTTTATATTTATGACAATATTTTAAGAATAAATAAGTATAATTCCACCTAGTAACTATTGTTTTAGGCACGAGTCTTGGTTTTAGTCCAGATTGTACATATTTTTTCTTAAATGCATTTAATCTAGAACTTCTATTATTTTCTTGAATTACACCAACAACTCTTCTAACTAAAGTGATCTCATCTCTAAATAATTCAACGCCATTCACAAAATTATAAATATGACATGCACACCTAACATGAAATATTTCAGAAAGTGGTGGGTATAGATGTAATTTTAATATTGTAAAGCAATATTATTGTTAGAAGCATTATCAAATGACATACACAAAATTTTTTTCTGAAAGATTGTAAAATATAGCAACTTCATGGATAGTATTACTTATAAATGAGCCAATATGACTTTGACTTCATCATATTTAAAAGAAATAATATATTTTTGCATAGAAAAATTATCATCTAGCCAATGGCATGTAACAGTCAGATAATCAATTTCATTAATAGCACGACCAATATCAGAAGTAAGAGAAAATCTACAAGAAAGACTGGCGAACAAATAACGGATATATGTCTGATATTGTCCAAAAAGTCGAAAGATACCAGCTGTACAAGTACTTCTAGGAATACCTTTAAACAAAGGGTTATAAATTCTTTGAATATAAGTAACAAGATATAGTGAAGTAGCAAAACTAAAAGATAAATAACTAAAATAATCATTTTAGCTAATTCTTCCAGATCTTTCGCTATATCGTATTTACCCATTAAACTGCCAGTACCCGGGTTAAATTTTTGTTTCCACCTTCCTCATCAGCACCCCATGCAAATAGGTTGGTTATCTACAATGTGCCTACGAAGTTGACCCGCTCCCCCTTGCTTACATCCGGTCTCATGTTTATAAACTTCATTACAAATTTGACATCTTACATAATTTTTATCTTCTTCTAGTCTTTCAAAAATATTCTAACACTTACTTCTTAATCTTCGATTCATCTTAATAGAGAGGGGGAGGCATACCTGTATTACCATGACCTCCACCCCTAGTATTTTGAGTTTGACTAACATTACCAGGTGTAGCTGGTGGTGTTACAAGATTATCAGGTGGTTGAATATCATCAAAATTATTATCTGTACCATAATTTTCTTGAAGTTACTCATAATCTACATTTAAATTTTCAGGCGAACTTCAGAAATATATGTAAAACTACTAGAAGAACCAACACCTCCTCTTGATCTTTTAGGAATTTTACTCTTACTACTACCACCCTTACTAGTACACGCTTTTTTGGCTGCAATAAATATATCCATTATGTAAATTAAATTAATAATTCTAAATAATAAAATAAAAATATATACCAAAGAAGAGAAAGAGATGGAACGAGTGTACCGGAATTCCGGATGCCGCACTAAATTTAATATCACACTTCAGTTGATATTTGATGATATTGAATATTGATACCACACTTTACTTGAATACTTGTTATTTGATAATTATAATTTTGTAGTGACTAAAGTAAATATTTTGATGAAACTTGAAATAATAAGTAATTGAGAATTTAATAGCAATAAGCTACATTATCAAGAGAGAATTGAGAGAGAATTAGAGTATTAAGAGAGCAAACTCTAAGAAAAAAGAAGAAGGAGGGAGGCTATTTATAGTTTTTAAAAGGTTAAAATTGTAATTTATC